TCAACTGAGAGAGAATTAGGGCATGCAGGAATAAGCACCCCACCTGAGCTCCCCAAATCCCACCTCTCTGTGAGCAAGCACACTGTCTGTAGGACTGATTCAAGCAACGTTGCCAACTCCAGCAATTTTATCATGGATTTCACAACAGCTGATCTTTTTTCTTAAAGACTCAGCTCCTGGAATCAAGTCATTAGGTGAGATTCTCAGCTTTCATTTAAAAAAATCAGTTTCTAGTCCTCAAAGTTCCAGAGAGAGGCTTGAAAACATGCACCCAAGAGCACCCTAAAAGGCTCAAAAGATTTTTTTAAAATGCAGTTCTTTTTATTTTTTGCACGGGTCTTTTTAGTGACTTGTGATTTTTGAAAATTTGGTATCGGCAGTGCTGGACCCTCCATGTTAGTGAAGATGGGGGGATAATGTTTGTTCCTATGGGTACTTGAGTTACTGTAATTCTATTCTGGGGTGGGTTACCAGGATGGATTTCCCATTCTGGCTTCCCCATCACAGTTTATCACTAGAATGCTAATAGATTATAAACACTCAAGTACATGCTATTCAGGACTGTATATAAAAGTAATGCTTTCTTTGTGGAAATCTCTAGAGAGTAGAAGATAGCAAAAGAGTCATAATTCTAAAGCGCAGCCACAACAGAAATCTGAGACTTTGGGTTTGTGGGAATATAAATAAATAGAAATGTTCCTTCTACAAAGTAGATGTTGAACAATGTGGCAAAAAGCATTCTGTTCTCGGGCTTTCAGCAGCAAAGCCACAGAGCTTTATTTTTGTGGATTATGGTATCACTAAAAACCCTTCACAAGATCTATGCCTCTCTTACTTACCAATTTATCTGTTATTCATATTAATGGATTTTGAGTGAGGTGAAGGAAGCTTCTGCCAAAGGAAGAACAGTTTTTATGCAGTGAATCCCAAAAAGAGTTTTATCATATGTTATAAAAAAAAAATAGGTAAGCTTTGAACAAAGTTTCTGTTGCATAGGCCTCTAGTGGTTCTGATGACATCATAAACCACAAGAATCCCTCGAGGATCTTAGAGCCCTACACTGCACAATTCCCTGTCATGTATTTGGTCCATGGAATTCATCTGTTAGATTTTTAGAGGTATACTCTCATTGAACTTCTCCAAAATGCAAGGCCTGAATTAATGCGCTTAGCCCAGAGGAATTCCAAAGTAGTTAGGAGTACTGAATTCCAGGGATTGCTAGCCCTCAGAGCCAAGGAACCTTTCCCCTCTGGTAGGTGGTGGTTTGGCAGCAGCTCTTCTAGTGCAAACGCAGTAGCCATGCTTTTTGTTCAGCAAATGCCCCTCAATGTGCAAAGATCTGTGAAGTGAGGGAGCACACACCTGCAGGGGGATGCCTTAACATGTCTTGGTTTGTCCTTTCTTGGGCCTACTACCTTCCAGACCCTAGCTGCCCACAGGTGAGAGGAGCAGTACTCAGACATTGCACATAACTCTTGCTTCTGTGTAACAGATGCACAGAAACCCTCATGCATGGAGCTGAAAGCACAACCCTTAACGTTTAGTGTTCTTTGCATTAAACAGAATAACCAGAAAGTTTTCATATTACTACTGTTTTAATTATTTTTCCATCAGCAAGTAACTAAAATCAAATGAAAATTCAAATCATGTTGCAGAGATTGCAGACATTGGTAACTTTATTTTCACATTACAAATTAACAAGGGTTCTGAGTATAATCTAACGAACATTCTTCTTTTTAAAAAAGGAAGAAAATCTCATACATCATTATGGCACCAGAATAACATAGAAAAGGCTGTTCTATAATACAATAAAAAGGTTAGTTCACTTATATTTCACCCTTATGCTACCTACAGTACCAGGCAGCAGGTCATGGTTCCTTTGATTCCCACGTGTCGGAACACCATGCACTGCATCGCTGGTGTGAAGGGCCCAGGAGCAGCTCGAGGTGGGCTGCCGGCAGCTGGCGCCCTAAGCGGAATGCGCAATCGGCGCCCCTGCCTCCATAGCCGTCAATGGCATGACGTCATCATTGGGCGCCCCGTTGAACACGGTGCCCTAGACGACTGCCAAGGTTGCCTGCATACGGGCTGCCCCTGGAAGGGCCTCTTTACTTTTAGTTACTTCGAGCAGGACCTGTGGGTCCTACCCATTCCCTCCCATCGATTCTTCTTACTAAGCCCATTTTATAGCAAAGCGAGACTTGGTCGTTCTAATAAGATTTACTAATTGATTATGTATTGTGTAAGATACCTAAAATGTCCAATGCCCTATTTAGGGTACATCCTGCTACTCGGGATGTTGCCTAAATTACGTGTGTAGATGGCAGTTTTATGGCTATATTTGTAACTTTTGCTTATCAAAAACAGCAGTACTAGTGCAAGGTTAGTTGTCATGTGTTTTTGACGTGGTCTCACTGTACCACTTAATCTGCATTGTTATTCAAAACATTCTTGCCTCTCATAGCTTCTCCCTCCCAAACCATACCTGCGTGCATATGGGCACCAGACTTGAGACAGGGCTGAGTCTTACTTTTTAGGGCTCAAAGCAGACATCACCATTTATCCTCAAAGCAGGGTAGTCCAAACTCCCCGACAATAATCTATGTAAAGCTTTTTTGAATTCTACTAATGACTTGTCCTCCATCATATCTTTTGGCCATGGATTTTGTAGGTTAATTATGTATTGAATAAAAAATATATTTGAATACAGTAAAGGGAAGAATGAGAAAAATCCGGCAGAAAAAGGGTTTGGGGTTTTTTAGAATGTTAGAGGAGGGCAGTCACACTCAGGCTTATAATAGAAAACCTTTCACTAAATCACGATGAGGCCCCACAATCCCTCCTTCTCTGGAGTAGGTGGAATCAAGTCATGACAGCTCTCTGACTAACGTCTGAACTAAGATAGAATAGTAGGTCTATTGAATAGGAACTTTTTAGATGTGTCTTTAAATCCAGAGTAAGAGATTTCTTTGGATATCCTGTTTTGGTAATGTGAGGCCCGCTAGGTGTGCTGCCATAAACTTCCTTCGGACCCTTATAAGAAGGCACTTTAAATTAAAATGCCCCGTGCATGGGAAGTGAGAGCAAATCAAATTCAAGTCCCACCTGTGCTTGTCTTGATTCAGGAAAACCACAACTCTCCATCTGAGGTCTGTGTGATATTTTGGATAGCTTTACTCTCAAGCAAGAGCCTCACAGACTTCCTCCTAGGGTCTCTGTGGCTGATCAACATAGGTTTTTCTTCCTTCAGTCAGGAATCACACTACTGTCCCTCTTGAGTTTATACTGGTAATTAGGTCAGCTATAATCCTCACTCAGCTTCTCCAAGCTGTCCTCCTTCCCCTGAACTGGGAGATGTCAAAAGGCAGCCTTTCTTGCTCCCCCCTGTCTTTTTTAGGCTTCTTTTATATCCAGGTCTGGACTGATTTAGCCATACAGTCCCCCT